AGCAAAGGGGGAAAAAAAAACAACCTGCCCTCTTTAATTGCTGATTCATTTGAGGCAGACAAAAGCCATCAGGGGGACGGGGGGAGGAGAAGCTAGCTAATACCAGTCCAAGGGGGGAAGGAGAAAGAGCTGAGAGAGAGTTCGACCTGCATCTTTTGAGCAGGGTATAGTAATTAGACTTTAAGATGTCATTTGTCCCTGTCATTTCATTACGTCCTCTCTAGTGGGGCCTGATAGACGCGGAAAGATCCTTTGTAGGGCAGCTGGCATTGAAGAAGAGACCCTGTTGAATGTGATTAAGGAGCTGTAAAGGCCAGGAGTAGGGCTGGTGGAAAGGGGTCTTTAAACACACAGACACATGCTCTGCAGCAGTTCAACAGATTGCTGCTCACAGATTTGTTGGAGCCCATCAGCTCCCCGGATACCAAGGGGTGCAATGAAACTATTGGCCCAAAAAGACTTCACTCAGCTGCTGCCCAAACCTTTCTCTGTGTTAAAAGGACCTCATGGCATCATCCAAAAATAGCCAAGGAGAATAAAGATGGGAGGTGAGGGGCCTTTGTTGCCCAACTCAAGGCTACCTCTTTTTCTTGGGGTTCTAGTTTTGAGGGATTTTTTTCTCCCTTTCTGTGAAAAGCTACTTCACAGCTTTCCTGACTGTCTCTCTACCCAGTTAACTTAAGGTGCTTGTAATGCCTGACTTTTTCTATATGGAAAGCTTTATATTTTCATGCTCATTTGCTTACATGGTAACGGCCGTATTACTATGCAAACTAGCATGCCGTTTTCTGTTGCTGTTCAGCTTGCCAGGGACCCTCTGTTAAAAGGGCTGAACTTCCTCCTTGAGACTAGTAGTCTTAAAACCTAATCTTGCAACACTGCCTTCACTGGAAGCGAGAGCTTTTGCATAAGGAAATCCTGGGTGGAAATTTCCCCCCATGGGATTTGAAAGCCTCAAGTACCTTGCAGCATCACAGCTTGTGTTGTCTTAGTCATAAAAAGGAACAGCCCCTTTGTTTTTTTGCATCATCAATGCTGATTTGCAGGAGATTTGGGGCTGAGAGCCCCAAATGAATGCAACCACTTCAATCCCAGAGGAAGGCAGGATTTCAGATGCACTGAATTGTAGAAAATGAGGGTTGTAAAGGACCTCGGGAAGCCATATTTAGTCCAACCTCCTGCTCAAAGCAGGACCATCTCCAACTACATCATCCTGCCCAGGTTTTTGTCTAGCTGGCTCTTGAAAATCTCCAAGGATGTTGACTCCACCACCTCTCTGGATAACCTGCTCCAGTGCTTTACTACCCTCCTAGCGAAAGAGATTTTCTTAATATCCAACTTAAACGGCCCTTGCTGCAACTGGAGCCCATTGCTCTTTGGGCCATTCCTTTCTGACCGTGTTACCGTTATGCTACAGCCGTTTAGTGCAGACTCACGTTTAAGCACTCTTAGTATAGTAGTCTAAATGCCACATGTAACTCCACCTTCAGACTCTTATTTAAATGTTAAGCTTAATTGTTAATTGAATGCAATCTTTTCCACTGGTCATTATGGCTTCCATTCTTCCTACCTGTCTCTCTCCAACGTTGGACCCTATTTTACATACAGCTTGGGTGTGAACCGGGGAGGAAACTGGCTCCAGGCAATGCCAGCTTATGAAAGTACTCTAAAATGAGTGTTTCTCTGACACAATACCATTTTATGCTTGGGGAAAAGACTCCCATAATCCCCATCCCCTCTTTCCTTCCACATACATAGTTAGCCATATAGCAAAGAAAGCAGGTCACGACTTGTTAAAAGCTGTTTGTGACCCTGAATTGCAAAACCTGGATCTCCCAGCAAGATGGTGGTGCATCGTGTCTTGCCACCTCAGCCTATGACCGATGCGAGGGCAAAAGCACTGACTAAAGGATGTCGAGGACTTTTGTTTCTCCCGACTACAAAACAGGCTGCAGAAGACTCCTGTTAGGTAAATTCTTACAGGAATGAGGATTTTCTCATTGTCCGATAATTCTTTGGAAACTTCTTGCTCCTTTAGGCTTGTAACATTCATGGTGTGTGTGTCAGGAGCTATTTAGGGAACTGGTTAAATGGGGAGAGGTTACATAATGAGTCTAAAGCACTGGTGTTCAACCTGTGGTGTAGTGGTTCCCCACAGGTCCATAAATTTGGCACCTGGGGTGGGGTATCAGTATTAATTCCCGCTGCTCTGGGAGCCACAGCAATTTAATGATGACATTTCCCGCTGTGACTGTCACACTTCTGGAGCTGCGGGGAGCCTTGCAGGCTGGGTGACATGACCCGGTGCACCAGATCATACCTGCATGCAGGTTCTGCCTGCCGCTAGATCAAACACATGGGACTGAGACAGTGCACTGAATTGCACCCACAGACTCACCCCATGCACCAACCCCATATACAGTATCCACAGATCAGCCCCATGCCGCTCACTTGAAGTTGAGCACCACTGGTGCAAAGGATTTGGGCCCTCCCAGTTCTAGGAAATAGTAAGTTGTAGGGATGAGTTAAATGTGTACTCAGTCTAATTCATTATTTCCTGGGGTATTTTTCTCCCTACAATGGTGATGCAATAAAAGCATATAATAGCTTGGTGCAGCAGTTCCAAACTAGGGGTGGTGATCCCGGGCAGGGATCACAAGGCCGGTTGTAGAAGTGAGGCTCCCAACTGGAAGTGGGACCCCAAGCAGGAAAAAGATATTGCTTGGCCTATGGGTTAGACTCTGGATTTGGTCCTGATGTGGAAGATTCAGGTACAAATCCCTCTGTTTGAAGAGGGGTGGGGGTGGGGGTGGGGGGTCAAAGCCTTACCTGTCTCTATTAGAGGAGTGTCTTAGCCATGTGGTCTCTTGGTGATAGCCTGTCACCTGTTGAAGGTCTCCTAGTTTGCATGAGATCCATTGGGTTGGGAATAGAGATCAGATGGAGCATGGCTGCCTGGCCTAGTAGTTACAGCCTTCTCAGCCTTGCTCCAGATGACATTAAATAGCCTCTAGCTGAAATACATGGATGATCCATGGAGCAGGGACCAGAGCATCACCAGCAAAAGTTCAGGCAATAACAGGGTTATGGGGGGTGTTTTAAGTGTCTTGCTCTTGGTCTGACCCAAGTCTTACTTAAGGGAAAACTCCTTTGAGAATCTGCTTGCAAAACAGACCTACATCCTAAATGTAGGTCCTCAAAACCATCACCCTTGAAGAGCTTAAATTCCATATCAGCTACCATCTCTGTCACCAGGGTATGTACACATCTGCCACAGCTGGGATGTCCTGATGGCACCAACACGCTCAGATACTCTGGCTCGGATGGGTTCACAAGCCTGGTGTTTCCCAGCTTGTCTCCTGCCAGTCCCAGTTAAATACGGTATCCCACCCCATACTGGTGAACAAGTTAAGAGGCTGTGACTTGGATGACTACACAGTCCGGTGGGTGGCGAATTGGCTGGAGGGTCGCACCCAGAGAGTGGTGGTGGACGGGTCGGTATTGACCTGGAAGGGTGTGGGCAGTGGGGTCCCGCAGGGCCCGGTCCTTGGACCGATACTCTTTAATGTCTTCATCAGCGACTTGGACGAGGGAGTGAAGTGTACTCTGTCCAAGTTTGCAGATGACACAAAACTGTGGGGAGAAGTGGACACGCCGGAGGGCAGGGAACAGCTGCAAGCAGACCTGGACAGGTTGGACAAATGGGCAGAAAGCAACAGAATGCAGTTCAACAAGGAGAAATGCAAAGTGCTGCACCTAGGGAGGAAAAATGTCCAGCACACCTACAGCCTAGGGAATGACCTGCTGGGTGGCACAGAAGTGGAAAGGGATCTTGGAGTCCTAGTGGACTCCAAGATGAACATGAGTCGGCAGTGTGACGAAGCCATCAGGAAAGCCAATGGCACTTTATCGTGCATCAGCAGATGCATGACGAATAGGTCCAAGGAGGTGATACTTCCCCTCTATCGGGCGCTGGTCAGACCGCAGTTGGAGTACTGCGTGCAGTTTTGGGCGCCGCACTTCAAGAGGGATGCGGATAACCTGGAGAGGGTCCAGAGAAGGGCCACTCGTATGGTTAAGGGCCTACAGACCAAGCCCTACGAGGAGAGACTAGAGAACCTGGACCTTTTCGGCCTCCGCACGAGAAGGTTGAGAGGCGACCTTGTGGCTGCCTATAAGTTCATCACGGGGGCACAGAAGGGAATTGGTGAGGTTTTATTCACCAAGGAGCCCCCTGGGGTTCAAGAAATAATGGCCACAAGCTAGCAGAGAGCAGATTTAGATTGGACATTAGGAAGAACTTCTTCACAGTTCGAGTGGCCAAGGTCTGGAACAGGCTCCCAAGGGAGGTGGTGCTCTCCCCTACCCTGGGGGTATTCAAGAGGAGGTTAGATAAGCATCTAGCTGGGGTCATCTAGACCCAGCATTCTTTCCTGCCTATGCAGGGGGTCGGACTCGATGATCTATTGAGGTCCCTTCCAACCCTAACGTCTATGAATCTATGAATCTATCTATGAAGTGCCCTCTGAACTTACCTCTGGGGCTGCCCCCAACCCAAGCCAAACATGCAGAAAGAGAAGAGGGTGGTGCTGGTGGCTGTGTCTTTGCACTCTTTTTACCCACATGGGCCAGTATTTCCAGCACTCACCTGGGAGATGCCTAGGGAAAAACCTTGCTTCTAATTTGAAGCAGGGATTTGCATCTAAGTCTCCCATCCTTTGGGAAAATTCCCTGAACATTGGGGGATGAACACATTTTTTGTCTTAAATGTTCACTGGTCCACAACAAGGGCATATCCCACTAGCTAACACACTCACAAAAGAGATGGGATAGTAAGTTCAAGCCCCACCCAAGACTGGTCTACAACCTATAGTTTAGTTGAGGTTGGGGGGAGAAGCATAAGCAAATAATCTAAAGCAGAGCACCCTATACTTAAGCTACCTTGAGATATAAGAAACTGAGGTCACACTCAACATCTCGTGTGTGCTGACTGGCTTTAAAACATTTTTATTCAGGCTTAAAATTGAATGGGTATAGGCTTGGACAGGGGAAAAAAAATCCTGCATTTGTTTAGTGTGGCTTGCAATAAACTGATATGACTGTCCTGTCTGTCCAGACGCTCCCCACCTCCTTATTCTCCTGGTCTTCCTACCCCCTGTCTCCCCCAGGCACCTGTGTAGACTCTGCCTCTTTATCTCAAGAACTTTATGTACAGCTCTGCAAGTCTCCAGATTATCCCCGGCACACCAGTGCAGACAAAACTATGCCTTGTTCCTGTATAATGATTCCCTAGGAACAAAATGAGCCATTCTAGTGAAAGCCAGTATTAACTGTACACCTGCATCTATGCCAGCAGTTTCTAGCAACATGTGTCTCAGGCTGCTGATAAATGGAGCCGTTCTAGCAGAAACCTGTCGTGTAGACTTTGCCTGGAAAGATAATGCAATGGCTAGAAACTGCCGGGCTAGGTAGATGTCTGAGGGACGGTGATTTCTTGCCTGTCCTTCAGCACAGGACTTCCAGTTCTGGAACTTCTTGCAATTAGTTATAGCCGGGGCCAGCCAGTGCAAGGTAATGAGCCATGATACTCCATCACGTGTCCTTCTCTTCTGGGTCGACCCAGCTTTTTCGGGTGACCGAGAAAGCAGGCAGTCGAGAGGGAAGTCAGTGTAGGTCAGCTCCTGGCCAGCTGGGGACACTGTCAGCAGCATCCTGAGGAATGAATTTAGCGGGGAGGTCAGGCATGAGGGTCAGCGGGCATCTGCCACCCCATAGTGTGTGTATTATGTGTGTGTGTGTGGGGGGCGGTATTCTTTGGAGGAAGGCAAAGAGGAAAATGAATAGCTGACATTAGGGCTAAGTATCGATATTCAAAAAGCCAGAGCCTAGGGTTGCCAACTCTGTTTGAATCTATCCCAGGAGGTTTTATCACATGATGTAATGACTTTGTTAGGAAGGCCAATGCACATGACTATTCCAGTTTCAAAACCCGCTGGACAACTGTATAAATCATATTCAACATTTAATATTTATTTTAATGAATGCCCTATCATTTATCTCCCGGGTGACTCTCCGCAGTCTCCTGGAGATTTATCTCTACTTCCTGGAGGCTCCAGGGCAATTCTGGAGAGTTGGCAAGCCTACCCCAGCCTGAACTGATTCAATCTTTGCTGGTTCGTCTAAGCTGCATAGATTGAACCGATTTGCAAGTGAACAGACATTCACTTTTGACTCCAGAAATGCAGCCACATGCCTGCAGTGGCTCAGGCTGGAAGCTGGGGGGTGCTAGAGCATCCTCCCCGCCTTCCCTTCCACAGCAGTCACAAGGCTGGAGGGAATCGGACCTGGGAGGGGTGGGGATGGAGATGGATGTGGCCAGGTCCTGGCAGGCTGAGTATGATTGGTGAGGGGTTTAAACCTCCACCCTGCCCTGCCAGTCCCCAACTGGGGTTTGCCTGGCTTTTTCCCCGCTCACTGCTGGAGCAGCTGAGGCGGGGGAGCCTTGTGTCAGGGCTGCTGGTCGTCTTATGTAGAGTTTAGAGTATGGGTGTGTACAGGATGGTCTGGATGGGGATGCTCCCTGCCCCAGACAGAGGCTGGGCTAGATGTGACCCTTGCAGGTCCCTCCCAGCCACACTCCTCCAGGATTTTGTGACCTGATCCAGAGAGGACCCCCTCCACTGCTCCTCCAAGAAGGAAGTGTTTCAGGCCCCTATTCTACTGCAGACAGAAAAGGGAGAAAGGCCCGGGGCTTGCTTCCCTGTTGGGACAGACACCTCCATGCTGGTTCATGCACACGGGGCTGCATGAAGCCTAGGGTCAGGTATGCACACACACACATGTGCATGCACATGCATGCGCACACCCCTCAAGAAGAGAAGCAGGGTCCAGTGCTGCACAGCTCCTACTCTCTGCATTCCCTGCCCGTAGCCATGAGAAGGGCTTTGGGCCCTTCCCTTCAGTCCCCTCCCTGTGCATTTTAAGGGACCAGAGGGAGTGAGGGGGGAAGAATGCAGGGCATTTGGCAGTGGGCACCAGACCCGAGGGCACCTGCTGAGTAGCTCCTGCTCCTGCTGGGGCCATGCCCAAGCCCAAGCCCACACCTGGCACAGGGCGGGTGCCCTGGGGAGAGGAAGGTGGTGGTACCAATTAGGAGATAGGCAGGGATCTCCCTGCCCCAGTCCCCAGTGCCGACTCTGCCTGAGTTACTCTCACCCACCTCCAGGGAGCTGCAGCCACTGCTGGGGAAGTTGCTGCCTGCATAGTTATTGGGTACTGCAGCTGCCTGATTACAGCCTCCTCTTTCAGACTGCCCAGCAGCCGGGCTAGCAGGGCTCAGTGCGGGCAGGAGCAGTAGCAGCAGCAGGTCCCTCAGGAGGAGCCATCCTGCATCTGGCTGCTGCAGGGCTACCCCAACGGGGCAGTGCCCCTGGGTGCAGCATCTGGAGCAGCCAGAGGCAGCAGCTGAGGCATTGCGAGCAGGTAAGTGGCCCCAGTTTATGTGTAACCTCTGTCCCTAGCCTAGGAGAGAGGCTTGGATGAAGGACTAGGAGTGGGGTGGGCACTGAGGCTAGGGATAGAAACTGTGCATAAATCGGTATAAGTGATTGGAAACCAATTCAAATCTGTAGCATAACAGAAGTTCAGTGCACATAAACTGCTTTCAAAAACGGCTGAAAATGGTCTAAGATAAACCTGGATGGATGTAGCATTAGACTGAACTGATTTAGTTTAAATCAGTTTATTGAACTTCTGTCCCAGATCCCTTCCAGATTCAAGTTCTCACGGCTCCCCAGCATCCCAGGATGCTTTGTAGGGTGGGCAGGCTAGCATTGGCCCAAGCTGTCTGCTCCAGCTGAGCAGGCAGGCATGCTCTAGCACCCCTGGTGTCTGGCCTGGGCCACTGCAGGCATGTGGCTGCATTTCTGGAATCAGAAGTGAATGTCTGTTCGCTTGCTTATTGGTTCAATCTGTGCAGGTTAGACTAAACTGCAAGGATTAAACCAATTCAGCCTCAGGCTTTTTGACTGTCGGTACTTAGCCTGAGGGGTAAGGGAAACTCCAGGTGAAGGCGTTGGGGAAGAAAGAAGCCAGTGGAGAAGCCAGAAAGGGAGTTGTGGGGAAAGCAACTGCTCCTAAGCTGTGTGATTTTTTTGAATGCATGAGAGTGAATTAAAAGATGCCAGAGAAAAGCCTTTGGGCTACATCTTAAGTCACTAAACTCAACTCTGAAATGGCTCTTAATTTCCGCTGCCTTTAATTATGAGTGTGGGCCTCCTTAAGTACGTAGATGGCTTCTGTCTACCTGGCCTAATGGAAGCAACAAGCGTCCTCTGAGCAAACCTCCAACTCCTGGGAGCCACCTTAAATTCTCTGCTCACCACTGGTCCTTTCTAGGTAACATGCAAAGACAACCGGATACTTTGCAACCTGATGACTCCACCACAGGCAGCCCCCTGAACCCAAGAGGAGGTTTCTTACCTCGATGAACTGGCTCATGGCAGTTCTGGAGCATGTCAGAAGGAGGGCAGAGCACCTAGGCCAGGAGGGAGGGTGCTGGAAAGGCTGGTCCCACGCCATCTTATTTCCTCTGTGTATTTCTCTCTCCCTCTCCCTCTTGGTTGCTGTCTGTTCTGCAGCCTGGAGCAGGAGGGATGAGGAATAATAGCCAGCGAGCTGTCAGCAGCACTCAGCGGTCTCTGCTAGAAGCAGCCACGTACTGTCCTTTTCCTCTCCTTTTGCAGCTTTGCTTTCTCACTCAGCCACCACAGCTGACACAGAGGAGTCATTAATTAATTAGACTGGTGTCACTTACAGAATGATCTGGGCGGGCGGGTGGAGGGAGGGCAGTCGGACAGCTCCAACAGGCAGCATCACGAACAAGGAGCCGACTCCGGCTCAGACCCCTGTTCCCTGGAGAGGAAAGCTATTTGCTTAATTTGACCCTATTTCTGTACAGCTGACGATTGATTCCAGCTCTTCTGTTTTGTTTTATCCTGATCAGTCGATAGATACGCTTCTTCCCTAATCAAGAAGGCTGAAAGTCGAGCTATACAGCATCTGTAGCTAGCTTCCTACTGGAGGGGCCCAATGATGTGGCAGAGAGGACTTTTGCAAAGTCCTGCATTTCTCGAGCATCTTTTATCCCAAAGGATGTTGCAGCCAAGTTTCTGCATGCCATGACCTGCTTCAGTCTCCAACTGGACTTGTTTTGAGCTGTTTGAACTGCATGGGATGATGTATATAACCTCTGCAGACAAAGCTAGCGATAACGGTAGAATTCAGCTGGTAACTTCCCTGGGTAAATAGGCCCTGAGTAGATTGGATCCAGGATCGGAGGAAGTTGTAGGGATTGAAGGAAGTTATGTTGATGATGATTTATGGAAACCATCCTTAAAGTGCCGCTGGACTGTGGCCCTGTGCTCTTAGAGATGCTGCCCCTGAGATGGAGCCTCATATTTAATAAGGCTAAGTCTTGTCCAGAATAGAGCAAGACCATTCCTATTCCACTACCCTTGAAACTTCAGGAACGATCCTGGTTCTCTCTCTGGCACAGACAGCCTTTCTCACATTTTTGCAGAAAAAGATAGTGTACACAAGCCAACTTCAGGTTCAGGAGAGTGGGGGTGTATTAAAAGCTGCTGATGGAGTCATGTTGTGCAAAAATCTCAGCTTTTTCCATGAACGTTTCCAGCCTTGGTGGTTTGGGGAGATAAAAAGAGCTTAAATGTATGATCCTTTAAACTATGGTGACATGGCACGTGGGTGCTGTGAGATCTTTTTAAGGATGTCACACAATATTAGCACTGTTAGGTGTGCAAACACCTACCCATGATTCACAAGATCATCATGGGCCACCGTTGGTCTTGGGAGACCATGGAGATTGCACCTTTTGCTGGATTAGTAGGTACCACCACGGCTTCTTAAGAGGCTGAGGAGTCCTCCAGCAAGTCGCACGTACAAACTCCATTGAGCTTGCACTGGCATGCCAAGTACTGTTTTGCCTTGCCTGCCTTTGACATCTGTTTTCTAGCTCATCATTGACCTTCTCCATCTCAAAGAGACATAGGCCTTGATTCATGGTGGCTTTCCACTTGCAGCAGTCTGAAGTGATTGATTCCCAGTGTTGGCCATCAATGCGCAGCTCGCAAAGGATTTTCTTGCAGACATCAACAAAACGAAGTTTGCGCCATCCAAGTGGACGTTTGCTGGTGGCCAGCTCACCGTAGAATATGTCCTTGGCGATTTGGCCATCACTGATATGATTCACATGTCCTAACCAGCAGAGATGTCTCTGTCTCGGGATCATGGACATACTGGGTACCTTGGCCCGTTCCAGGACAGTGAAGTTGGAGATTATCATGCCATGTTATGCCGAGGATACAGTGGAGACATGGAAGATGGAAATGGATGGAAACTGATGCACAAGATAAACCCAGAATTTTCCGATAGGAATCCAGTGTGCCAAAACCATCTGACCTTGTGGGCTTGGAGGTTTTTTGCAGCAGAAGAATTGCTATTTTTCCATAGAGGGGGGAAAGGAAAGAGAGTGAAAACTCAAAGCTGGCATTTTCTGGGATGCCTCGAGTCTAAGGAGGTTGAGAACTTGAGCAGAAATCAATAGCCTCATGCTCTCTGTTGAAATATTTGAAATTTTTTTGTTGGTCAGCTTCTCTGGGCCTCACTTGCTTCTTCAGGTTTATCTTCCTACATACTTGAGGCAACTGTCTTCTGCCTTCTTGTAGCTTTCTTCTGGTTGTGCTTGGCTATCATCTGAGTAAGACCATGCCCTTCTTGTTGGAGCAAGAGCATGGTAACACAAGGAACGGGGATGTAGGCCGAGTGTCAGAGCCATTCTAGGGTTGTTGGTTGTAGCTGTGTTGGTCTAAGGACGTGGGCAGACGTGGTCCTTTGAGTAAATGTGTTATCTTTTATTAGACCAACTGAATAGCTGGAAAAATTGTTCTTTGCAAGCTTTCAGCCACAAACACCCTTCTTCAGGCAGAGGGAGAGTTTGCTGGTGTTTGAGTGCTCCCCTGGGTAGAATAAAAGCCAAAAATAGAGCTGGTCCAGCCACTTCTGTCACCTGCAAAATGATCTGTGCAAGGGTCTCACTGGGGATCGAGCAGAAAGGCGAGACTTCCCTAGACAGTGAATTTAAAGAGCATCCAGATGAAGCTGGGCTGCTAATGGGTCTGCTTTAGTGATTGTATAATCATAATGAGAAAGTTCTTCCTAATCTCCAGCCTAAATTTCCTCTGCTGTAGTTTGAGGCCATTGATCCTAGTCCCGCTCTGTGGCTACAGGGAAAATGCATAGGATATGTGCCCGTATACAGTGGTATTGGAGAAAACTAGCAATTAAATTCAACTAGTGCTCCTGTTTCCCATTCAGTTGGCAACACCACTGCTCTGGATCTACAGAGAGGCCTAGTTTAATAGCCCGTGGGTTCACTGTGCTGGAAAAGCAGAGCTGCTGGATTCGGGGATGTCCCGGTCCTACCAAGAGAAAACGTAAGATGGCAGCGTTGAGGCAGGAAATCCTGAACTTTTTGCTTTAACGCTCCTTCTGATAACTCCTAGTTTACAGCCCTCCTTCACTCCTGTAAGTGGCTGTTTTCGATTATGTATGGAGTGAAACGCAAGCCATGTTTTGCATCTGGTATTTAGTTTAAGCTGTACTTTGCTTCTTTTCCAGACCTGAAGAAGGGCACTTTGCACCTGGCTGCTTGTCTAACATCTCTCCCAACTGTATGGTTGGTCTAGTAAAAATATAGCACCCCCCAAAAAACCTCATTTAGTGCCAACGAAGTTGGCCATCATTTGTGAACCTCTACGTGGATTAAATCCTTACTGACCTTAGGGAGTCCTACTTCTCTTTCCAAAACCCTGTAACAGCTAACATCCCAGTCTGTTCATTAGAGTTTGTGTTAATTGATCTTTTCTATGTTTGTCACAGGTAATAACTCTATACCATTCGAGTCCGTGGGGTGAATGTAATGGATGACTATCGGTGTCGAGTTTATGGCATATAAAGGCTGTTTGCAGGACAGCTTGCGTTTCTCCAGCGAGAAACTCTCTCAGGAGCATTGTAGGGGACTGAACCTGCTACTACAATGACTGGAAAATGGGTAGACTTTCTGGGATGAGACGGGAGCCCTGTCCTCTTGCTACTCATCGACCAGCCCCAGCCACAGACCTTCTCGTGAGAATCTGTTCAATCTGGCAAAAATATTGCTCCATTTAGACGTGATGCCAGGTGCCAAGACAAAGTGAGAGCAGGTTAACACGAGCAGAGTACACGCGATGAATCTCTTCCAATTTGGGGGGGGAATATTTCCTGGGTTAGGTCTCTAACCTAAAGTCCCTCAAACTGAACAAAATATACTGTGAAGCTGGTTTGCTAGTCAGTGCTGCCTCTATTCTTGATCATAGGAAAGGGACTTTACAAGGTCATCTAACCCAGGCCCCTGCTCAAGGCAGGACCATCCCAGACTAATCCATCCCAGACGGCAGGGTAGTTTTGCACCTTGTAGACTAACAAAACCTGAGATGTAAGCTATCCCAGCCCACGTATCTGTGTAACCTGCTCTTAGGGGTTGAGTTTCCACATCTCTAGGCAGCCTGTTCCACTGTCAGAGTCAGAAAGTTCCTCCTAGTCTCCAACCTAAATTTCTTCTTGCAACCATTGCTCCTAATCCTAATTTGCGGCCCCAAAGAAACCCCCATCTCCATCCTCTCTGTAATTGTCCTTCCCGTATTTGAATACTATTATCAAATCGCTCCTCCACACTAAATAACCCCAGCTCTTTCAGCCTTTCCTCATAAATCTAGGTTCCCAGCCCCCACTAATCATTTTTGTTGCTCTCCACTGGACGCTTTCCAATCTGTCCCCATCCTTCTTGAAGCATGGGGCCAAGAATTGGTCTTGGTACCCCAGGTGGGGCTTTACCGCTGTTGAATCGAGCAGGAGGAGCCGGTGCCATTGTTTTGCAAGTGACACTTCTGGTAACACAGTCCAATGTCGGGGACCTTTTTGCAGCCTGCTGTGATCACCAGGTCCTACTCGGCAGCGCTGCCGCCCAGCCAGTCATTCCCTAGTCTGTGTTGGTGCAAGCAATTATTCTGTCCCAAGTGTAGGACTTTGCACTTGTTGTTTTTTTTTATCTCATCTAGTTAACTAAGAACCATTTCTTTTTTCAGTCTAGCCAGGTCATTCTGGATCCTAGCCCTGCTCTGCAGGGGGTCTGCAACTCCACCCAGCTTGGAGGCAGCCGTGAATTTGCTAAGTGCTCGCTCAATCGTATCCTCCAAATAATGAATGAAGATCAATATCGATTAATGAAGATCAATTAAACAATATCAGATTCAGGAAAGACCCCCTCCCACCTAGATACAGAGCCATTGATGACTATTTGTTGAGCATGATGATCCACCTAGTTAGGTATCTACCTTACAGTATTTTCATCCAGATGATGTGTCCTTACCTAGTTATTGAGAAGGTTTGTGGGAGTTAGTGGGAAAAGCCTTGCTGAAGCTGTGGTCTATCACATCCGCCGATCTCCTTGCAGTGAGGGGCATGGGGGGGAAATACTGCCCATCCACACAGCCAAACAGGGAACCGGGGCTCCCCAAACCATGAGATTTTTAAACATGGGTTTTTTGGTTTGCCATGAGGCTCTGAAGTCAACTGTTGGATCTCTTTCAAGTTCTTCCTTTGCAGTCTCGAAATTTTCATGGCATCACGTGTT